GTTATTTGGGCTAGAAGTGGGTACACATAGCCGGACTATATCGGGTCTAATCTTAACCGAGACGTTGAAATGACGGCTATTGCTTGCTGGGCTGCAGCTTGAATCATCCATCATCCATTTTGAAAATCGCTGGTCCAATGTGATTACAGCATAATATCATGCAGTTATACATTTATTTTTGATTGATTAATAGTTTAATGGAAGTTTATACATGTTTCTTTATTACTGGAGCTGCCTGTTTGCTAAGTTTCAAATGGTAATTAAATGTCATGCACAAACTATGCAAAAGCAGCAGCCCTTCTGGTGGACCCAGTGTCCAAATTCGTTCACTTGTTTTCATTCACTCCTTCAACTGAACTATATTAGCGGAATAGTGAATGAGGGTGTAGGGGGCGATTTCGAACACAACATGGGTACCAGTAGAATCTTATTGCTACACCAAATCTAAAGAGACGTATTTTTTGGCCGAATTGTTCAAAAGTTATAAGCAAAAAATTTAAATTTTTTCATCTCTCTTCACCAGTATCTCATATTTGGGTGCTTTGCCACTACATGTAGCTGCAAGAAGCAATTAAGGGGCCAAGCACAACAGAGGCAAAGTGATGAGCTAAGCATGGCAGGGAGCATCAGACCAACTCCAACAATGAGTAATTAAAGCCATTTTATGATTTGTCAAAATTGTTGAAAAATCATAAAAACAATAATTACTAGTATGATTGAATGACTTACCACTTTTGACCAAATTGATGGTGTGATCAGTGTGAGGTGACAATGACACACATAAAGTTTGGTGTCAATATGTCAAAGCTTTGCTGAGATATAGCCTCAGATGCAGTTCCATCAAATTTGTTTATGTGGTAAATGAATAATATTTTGTTTAATCGACACAAAATCCAGAACTTTTTGCCAGCATGGTCTGAAATCAAAATGGTGGACAAAGTTTTGATTATGGCATAATTGGTATCAGTGGCAAAAGTGGTATCAGCATAATCCAAGGAATATATCAAGACCGATCATGACAATAGGAAAAAATGGCCAACATGGGAAAATTCAAATGTATCATTTGACTTGGCATGCTGCTCCAAATCTAGATTGCTGGAATTTTCCCAGTGCTCCCGATTAGCCAATCTGGGCCTGCATGAGCTGGTTCCATTTTTGTGAAAATCGGAGGAATGGTCTAGGTCAGGAGGAGTTAGAAAAAGTATGTTTTTAGAAAATTCAAAATGACTGGAAAATTTGTATTAAAGAAAATGATGTCATATGGTGCAATCGAATCGTCTCGAGCCAAGCAATCAGAAGAGAAAAGAATTTGGTTTCTAGCCCGTGCAGTTGAAAAATTATTAGCATAAACGTAAGTACAAATTTTGGACAGTTGATGGTGCTAGACAGATTGCGGTAGAGACTCCAAATTTGCTGTGGTCAATATTCAGACCGTCCTCTTATCGGTGTGCTAAATTTCCTGCAAGAAGTTCTGTGGGCTTCCACAGACTCAAGAAGAAGAAGAAGAAAACAAACAGGTAAAATAGATGACTATGCAGTTGCACCATTTTTGCTTGGCCCCTAATGGTAAGGAGAAAACTAAGGTTCAGAGTGCAGGCAAATCAGATTTTTTTCTTAATTCGGATCTTTTCAGGCAGACTGTCCGCACTATTATTTGCAAGTGATCAAATCAGGTGTGTGTGTGTGTGCAATTGGAAAGTGTAAAGTTGTGTTATTTATACGCAGACTGATGAGAACGGGTTGGTGTGTCCAGACATAACCAGCCTATCTGCATGGGTTGCTTTGGTTATGATGCAGGCATACCCACGTATGTGATGAGGCTTTCAAAACAGATGCAGGAACAACAGAGGTGCATCACTCGATCTCCAAATGAGTGCCCTGTCGAGTCGTGGTGCAGAACCCCTCTGTGGCACTCTGTCTCTTCTGTGCTGTGGTCACAGCTGGCTTCAGCTTCATTTGAGTACTGAATATTGTATGGCATTTCCATCACCGGTTTAGATGTCATCACTGTGTGTCAGGTTAAAAGTAATGCAAAATACAATTTGAAACCTGATTTGAGCAGCCAGAGCGTCCAGACTGAGACACATCTGTAAAAACCTGATTGGAATCACATTTTAAACCACCTCCATATGTGATTTCATGTGAATCCGATTTCATATTGTTTTTGTTTGTTTTGTTTTTTGCTGTCCAGACATTCAAAAGACAGTCTGGATAATATCTGGATATGCAAAATTTGATTTTTGCTGGCAGGCTTAACAGACTCAATAGGGGCCTACTCCCCTTTGGTGCTTGGACCCTAAATATATACAAATATGAAATAAAATTTAAATAAAGCCTTTATCAGTGAATGGATTTTTAAAGATTTGATTAAATGTTTTTTTAAACATAGCCTATTAATAATAACAAATTATTTCAACTTCATATATACATTTATAAATGACAATTGAGCCTAGTTTTCATCACAAACTGGCGTAGGCCACAAATGAATGCATATTGTGGCCATGACAACATGTCCCCTCCCGGTCACCATATAGAGTGTGTTGCATATGCGTTCATTTCAGATCCAATTTGAGCTTTGGATGCGATTGAAATATTTGAACTTCTACGACTAGACTGTTCTAGCGACCACCTGACCGGATGTTTCCTTAATCTGAGCAGTAAAAGACTTGGTTACTTTTCCTAAGTGTGCCACCTGAACACAAAAAAAGTTGGAATTGATTCAAAAAATAAAAACTCCTTAATTGGTCCTCCGTGGACAAAAGTGGGCAGCCATAGGAAATTAATGGGTGAGACAATTGTCCAATAAAAATCAATAAACTAATTAATTGCCCTTATAGGCTTCAATGAGCCTATAACATTATTTAAAAATTTATTTATTTATTTTTACATTTTGTCAAATAAAAAACAGTCACTCACACATACACAAACAAAGAATTGAATGAACCAATAACTGAACATTTTTTAAATGTCGATCAGCCACTGTGCAAAACACACACACACACACACACACTTCAAAGTCAGATCAAAGTCCTACTGCAAGATTTGTTGATGATTCCAAACAAAACATGTCTGAAACATGTTGCTTGCTAGGTTTATTGTTTATTCTTAACTAGTTGGTACCATTTTGTACCAGTTTACTTTTTTGAGTTTTTGTTTTTTTAGAAATAAATAATTACTCTGTCTCCTACTTTGTCTTTTCCTTATAGCATGGTAAGATTTGTCAGTAAGCATGTTTTGGCATCTTTGTATAGTCTCACCCAACACAAATGGTTTAAAAAAAATTTCATACGATTTTAATTTGTACGGAAGTTCTGCATTATATTTTTTTTCCCTTCTTGTTTTCTCGTTATAACGACTTATTTTCTCGTTATATCGACATAACGAGAGTTGTTTTCTCGTTATAACGACTTATATTCTCTTGTGATAAAATCTAAAACTTTTTTTTTTAAAGAGGTTAAGTTTGTTACAACATTGGTTTAGATTTCAGCCTTTGCAGCCAAGTGAGTAGGCCTTCTACAGCCATCTAGTGGCCACTGATATTTCATGTTATTGCTATTTTTATACCCAACATATGTCGCCAAAGTATACCAATGTTGAGGTTTTAGCAGTTTCAACCTACTAGAATGAATATTTTCATTCTATTTTTAGTAAAAAAAATAAATTAAAAAAAGGCATATTTTACATGAAAGTCAATGGAGTGATTTTGTAATTTTAAAGGTAAATAAATTCAAAAATGCAAAAAAAAAAAAAAAAAAATACATAAATTGATTGTTTTTACTTAAGTGAAGATAGTGTTATGACATTTATTTTTTTTAAAAATTTAAGAATCACACCGGACACATTTTTGCCCAAATTTGTCCATGAAGGACCCATTAAGGGCTGCTCTATGAAGGATGATTGAGGTCACAAAAAAAGTCACAGGGTGTTTTCTGAGAAGAAGAAAAAAGTAGTTGCTAACTGGTCTCTGTCCATGATGGCTTCCTAATCAGTATGAAAGAAAGTCCTGACAGATGAGAATGTGAGAGATTGCAGACTTCTATATAAAATACCTAATTAGCTCACTCAAGTCTTTTCAAATTTGCAATTAAAAAAAGTCATTTGTTTTTGTAAGTTTGTCAAAAGAAAAAATTACTGAGATCTTCAATATTCACTTTTACAACAAGCAAATGTTTTTCCGATCTGACTACTCTTACCACTTTTAAGGATTAGATGCAAACTTGTGAAACTGTGTGATGTGACTGATCTAGGTGTAAATGGGAATATTTTCATCTCTTGCTGTGTATCTTTGTGTAAGTGAGTTGTTTATTATTTATTGTTACTACTTGATTAGCACCAGAGACCATGCTTTAGTTTTTCATTTATTTCTTTGGCTTTAATGTTAATGTTTTATGCATTAAGCTGTTGCATAAAGATGTTTAAGAGAATCATTAATCTAAAGTATAAATCAGAACATTTGAACATATTAACCTCAGTATACAATTGGTCACAGATGTTTAAACTTTGACTTTAGAGAAAATGCAGAGTAATATGGTGTGGATAACCACTATTTAAATATAGCTGTGTTACCAATAGACGGCAACAATGATTATGCAAATTGTCACAGAACATTAATTTCTGAATAAATTCTAAATAATGACACACCTCACACACCGGATGCTGTGTGCGCGCTCAAAGACAGTTGGACATAGTGGTGTATTAGAGGTAAAAAAATGATATAAATACTGTTCGGTTTCTGGCACAAACTGATCGTTTCGTTTCTTAGGACATCAATGTATCGTCACGAGCCGCAGGATTTCATTTGGATTTGTCTGTGCATGTTTTTTTTACTCTCATAGATTTTGTTACCATTGCCATCCATTATACGACTGATAGACTGCAACGGTTGGACTTAAAAATCATCATGTGTGTTCTACTGAAGAAACAAAGTCACCTACATCTTGGATGCCCTGGGGGTAAGCAAATAAACATCACATTTTCATTTTTGGGTGAACTATCCCTTTAACTGTCATAATGCAAATCTTTCTTCACTTGCAATCTGCCAAACCAATAGCTTTTTACTCCTTTAAAATAACATACAAAATCATATTTGTAGACCTGTGCATTATTTACTTACGCAATAAAACATTCTTTCCTTCGTATCTTGAGGTCCCTCTGAATTATTTCTTCATACCTATGCAATACATCTCAGATATGATTGTCTAATTCATTAGGTGCAGCTTGAGGAATGATAAACAATGTTAAAGGCACTAGAAGTATCAGATCAATATTGAGATTGATTCTCAAAGCATGAATCAGCTTCAGATGATCTGCTTTTAACATATGAGGTGAGAGAAATATGGACAAGAGCTTAATGCTTAATGCAAATCAAAGCTACATAAATGGTCTTAAATACAAGTTTAGTCCAGATATTAAACCACAGCTACCAAAGTTTTGCACTGAATCATTTGATAGAAAATGTTTTAGTCCCTTCATGGTCTGTAGGTTTTTATGACGTCCTTTATGGGTCTCCGACAGATCGGACAACACGCATTGATCTGTCTCTTGAGCCTCAGTCCACAGTCATTACACAAACACATGTGTCCACACGTATAGATGACGGTGTCCACCTCCTGATCGAAGCACACTGTGCACTCTCTGCTCTTGCTGCTCAGGGCTGCGTCTGATGAGGAAAGACTCGGTGAGACAGGTGGACTGAGAGGAGAGCTGGGAGCCGTCACTGAAACATAACACATCAGAAATCTGCCTCAGTGGAAAAAAAGTCTAATTCATATAGAGTACAAGATAGTTTTTCTGAATGTTAAAACAATTCAGGTGCCACCTTAACCCTGTATGAGCAATAGTAATAGCAATGCTTTAGCAAATACCACTAATAACACAGAATGTGATGTCTATATCTGGAGTAAATGTTGCCAAAATGTGCTTGCAAAACATGTTGTGAAACCTAGCATGGGATGTTAGAATTTAAAAAGAAACTTCTACAGCTCTATTAAAGTTGCAATGAAACTGAAGTAGCGACCGATTCTCCTTCTGAGTTGTGTAACAGATATAAGGTAACAGATTATAAAAAAAAAATTATTTTATATAAAGATTATAAAAAACAAAACAAAACATGTACTTGGTTCTGTGTACCGGTTGTTGATTGGAAGTGAGATGTGGGCGTGGCACTCAAAAGTGGAGACAGATAAACGTGAGCTTGCCCGCATGGATGAACACACAATAAGATCAGTAACATGGTGAATTGTAATTTTTTTAGGCTGACTTTAATCAGTCATTTCATGATATTAGCATTAGCGTTTTGTTTCTTTCAGCAGTTCAGAATTGAATGTGAGCTGATGAATGAGCTTGTTGAGACTCACCTAGAGAGGATTCGGATGCTGATGAGGATCTGTTGACGGTGAAAGCCAGATCAGAGTCACTGTCATCAGGCGTTGATACCTGAGACATTGATGGGGAGGTGGGAGGGCTGGCCTGAACAGTTCCTTGTGGACAAAAATAACATAATTTACCACAATGGACAACAGCCTTTATTACAACAATCACTGACACAAATCACCTTCATCTGACAATGACAATGATTTTTAACAAAATATTAAAGAATGTATAGAGCAACTATATTACATGTACTATATTACAATTTGGATGCTGAATGCTGATTGGTCAATACAGTATTCCTGCTGTGCTAAAAAGCACAATATAACATCAGCTATGACATGATCATGTTTTTTTTTTTTGGCCACTCACTATACTGACAACATAGCATGGCCTCTTGTGCCTTATGACTTAAATAAATGTTGGCAGCATTTTACATTCCAGGCAGGAATACCACATTCTGAATTCGATACAGATATATTAATACATTAATATGTGCAAATCTTTGCAACTGTCTAGTGGTGAAGGTTTTAATTTTCACACGTCATGCTAAGAGCTCATCTGATATAATCATGTGAATTAAAATAAGAGGAATAGTAAAAACTGTTTCACTATTGCATTTTATTTCAGTATGCCATGCTGCTCTGAATCATAATTGGACTCAAGGGGAATTATTTTGGAACACTGACAAAAGAAAAGTGTCATTCTGAAATAAAGTTGACTGTAGGACCTATTTGAATGTATTAGTTATGGGACGAGGATCCCTGGGAGAAAAACAGAATGTGATCTATTTTTCCAGCGATAAACAAGCTACAGTATACTGTATATTAAACTGAACTCACTGTCGCTAACATATGCACAACCGGCTCATTCTACAGTTGCACTAAACATAGGAAAAATCCCATGAATATAATATGGAAATGACCTTCCTAAAAGTAATTTGCTATGATCAGATATATAGCACCAGTCAAAGGTTTCGACACTGAATTTGTTTCTCATTTGTATCTCAATGTGTTTTTGAGAGAGAGGAAAAAAGTTGAATAAGAGAATGAACAATGTTAGCACAGCTGAAATCTAGCTTCTTTGTCTTGCTGAAAGAAGCAGCTTAAATATAAAACATTTGGTTTGAAACCAGGTCACTACGTAATTTTCATAGTTTCATTTGTGTTCATTCAGAATTTTAATGACTTCACTATTATAATCAGGGATTGAAACTAACTTTTTCACTCACCAGCCAATTTGGCTACAACATTTTTAAGTTACCGGCCATTCATAACTTCTACTAGCCAAAAAAAAAAGAGACAGAAATACACCAACAGTTTGAGTTGAGTACATTAATCAGTATTTAGCACACCTTCCTAAGGAAAGGATATGGACCAGAATACATTGCAATTACTAAACGATATTTAGACAGACTTAAAGAAGTTCCAGATCTATGCTTGTGCTCTTATTATTTCAGTTATTTTGCCTTTAATGTAAATAAACATGTGCAAACAATATACTTGCTCTTGTGAATTTATTTGGATGTTAATTACATTGTGTTAGCTGTCTCTTTAATACCGCGTAGTTTATATAGATGCTGCTGCTGATTGGGCTGACATGTTTGACACACCCACCAAACAAGAGAAAACGCATCCCAAACCCCGTTGCACACAGTTTCCAGGAAACATGTCATTCAAACCAGAAACCGTAGCAAAACGGTGCACTTTGCAGTATTAAACACGTATTTATACCGATTTCATCATTGAGCTTGAACTTGCCCCGACCTCATCACGTCGTGTATGCACGCCTCTGTAGGTGTGTTTTGTTAAGCTTTTGCAATATACTTGATAATGTCATGATGTCTCGCGAGTTCAGTATTTGCGCTAAACCTGCGCAGATTTGGCCTGCATGAACTTCCCCAAGAAATTAAGGTGTGAACATAATTTACGAAAAGTAACCCGTCAGATTGGCTAGTGAGTTGACAGCGTTACCCGCCACAGCTGATTTTTACCCGCATTTCAAACCCTGATTATAATATATACTATAGTTAAAAAATTAATGGATTTTTTTTTTAGTGGTAAAGAACATCTATACATACAGTGGTGTGAAAAAGTGTTGGCCCCCTTCCTGACTCCTTATTTTTTGCATGTTTGCCACACTTTAATGTTTCAGATCATCAAACTAATTTAAATATTAGTAAAAGATAACACAAATGAACACAACATGCAGTTTTTAAATGAAGGTTTTTATTATTAAGGGAAAACAAAATCCAAAACTACATGGCCCTGTGTGAAAAAGTGTTTGCCCCATAAACCTAATAACTGGTTTGGGCCACCCTTAGCAGCAACAACTGCAATCAAGCGTTTGCGATAACTTGCAATGAGTCTGTAACAGCGGTGTGGAGGAATTTTGGTCCGCTCATCTATGCAGAATTGTTGTAATGGCAATAACAATTTGCTCAATTCACAGACATTTATCATCACATTTATTAAATCCTACCTAATATTCTGAGCCGGTTCACAGCTCCGTGCAGTGTGAAGAAGGCCCACAGAACCTGAGAGGAGTCAACACACAGAAGACGACCACGTGCCCCTTCGTTGACCCCATGATGCACCTCCCCATTGGCCAGAAAAGTAAAGCTGAGCAGATCGCCTGCCGCTGGCACAGGAAAACCCCTGTAGACCACCCAATACTCCTTACGGTCCAGAAGCACCTCTGGGTCAGCTGGCAGCTCTCCAGCATTGAGGGTGCCTGGATCACAAGAGGTCATACCAAAGAGAAGAGCCCCAAAGTAAGGCAAGCCCAGATGGCCCACCTCCACGTACAGAGTCTCGCCCACCCGGACGGGCCTGTCACTGAACATCAACGTCCTGCTGCTGTCCAGGAAGTGTGTGCGTGCAACTGTACGATCATTTGAGAGAACCACGTCAGGGCCTCGCACTGGGTGAAAATGCAGGTCAGCATCAAGAGGCATGGAGAGCCCGCGGGCAGCCCTCTGTATGTTGAAGGAGGTGGATGAAGAGGGTGCAGAAGAGGTGGAGCAGCAGGGGATGAGTTGGTTGTAGTTGCTGAGATGTAACGTGGCAAATTTAGCTGCTGCGGCCTGGCTGCTCTCTAGCTTGTTGTTGCTGTAGTTAGCCGAGTCGTGGTTGCTCTGGAGAAGATAGGCACTGAGTCGAGCGCTACTCAGACAGCTCGTGCCCACACTCTCAGCAAACGTGCTCTCTGCAAGAGGAAAGGAAGACCAGTGAGACGTTATAAATAATACCTCTGCTCTAATAACAATGCCTTCTTACTCTTTTTCGACCACTGGATCCGCAGTTTACCCCATAACGGCAGCTAAGTCTGATCACTAGCCTTCTTTTTTATTATAAATTATATTATCAGCATAAACATCCGGCGTAAAACCAAATGGCACTGTTTTGGCGACCCCTAACATGAGCAGCCGAAATACAGAGTATATTATCAGCATAAACATTTAAATTCAAAATTTAAACAAAAAAATGTGCATTAATTTGAGTATGCACTTCTTAATCAAGCTGCAGTACGGGTCACAACACAAAAACGGGTCCAACAGTCATTATGGTTCATTAGCTAAATGCAGCAATCTAGTTTATTACAATGAAATAATCAAAATTATGGACTGGATGATTTAAGATATAGGGCATAGCCTAAAGATAATTTTAAGATTTTTTAAAACTTTAGGTAATTTTTGTAGGCAGTATGTAGTTTACCCCAGATTTGGGGTGTATGGTGGGCCATGATTTTTATTCTAATGTTAAGGTGGTCCATCACTTGAAAAAGATTGAGAACCACTTGTTAAGATGGTTTACAACACAGGCAAAACATCTCTATAGGTCTGGGTTTGGTTAGCTTTTCAGGTAGGCAGGGACCCTTTCTTCAGGAACACACAGCAGCCCTGACCAAACATGGTCAATGATCTTGCCAGACAGAAGGTAAACAAAGTCCTTCAGCACTGGAGAAAAGGAGCACAAAAGAAAGAATGATAACCAGGTTCAAGAACCAAGTTCAGTTTACTGACTCCCATTCTCAGACTTAGGATGTTTAGTGTCCACAGATGGGAATCTTTATAAACAAACAAACAATGTTTAGTTATAAAATCGGTGATCTCATTAGTATTTATGCAAGTGTACTCCTGGTACTCATTTGACTTGCACATTTCAGAGCTGTCAGTCTGCGTGAGAAACTGAATCTTAGCACCTCATTTGAGATATTCCTCTGACATTCAGCCCTTGTGTGTCTGTGCGGCCTCCTAGAGGTAGTTCCAACAAAGTTGTAGGGCTGCAATCTAATCATGTGTAAAATGCACTCTTGAAATGGCAGTTATTCTAATATCTGATGCTAGTTCTAAAACCAGAGTTGACACTGAGCAACACTTTACCACAGATGTGCTTGTAACACTTGTGTCTATATTGTAACTCTTGTTCCGTGTAAAAAGTGTGAGATTAATTGCAACCCATTGTGCTTTAAGGAGGACACAGTTAAGAATGACAAAAATGAATAAAAAATGGAAATGTTAAAAAAAACTACAAACATGGCAGATGTACAAGACTGATGGTTAAGTGGAGAGATTAAGAGAAAGGGGTTTGATTGATTAATAATCAATATCTAATCTGATGAAAAATATTATAAGGATACGCAACATAAGAAAAAAGCCAAACATGAGTGGAGATCTCTGCATGAAAGACCCACTACTGGCAGATCAACATGACGTTTCTTTTCTCTCCAATACGGTAGGAAGAACTCTAGTAAATTAAATGACATTCACACACTGTGCTTGCATAAATAATACACTTTTCCTGACATATTGACATATTTTATTGTTGTAGTATGACAATAAAATAAGTAGTATGTAGTATATTTTATTATTAGACAAGTCCGTCTACAACTATCAGGGAAGAAATCTACATTTGGCTTCATCTGATGTCAAGCTTTAAGTGTCATTGCCAGAGTGACATGTCCCAGATGACCCTTCTCTGGCCTACTTAGAGCTGCAAAAGTTTATGAAAACCAGTGGCATACCACAAATCTGTGGGGCCTTCCCACAGCAGTGATTTCATGCACGAATGCTTGTATCGGGGGTGAATAGTGGTGCTGCTGATGGACGCAGTGTTATTTGGGGCAATCTAACCCTCACTTTTAGACTTTTCTCATTATTTTGACTGGTATATCTACATTTGGTTTTCTACATTTCTGTCATTTCAAAAGTTTAAACGTAGTGGTCTACAAAGTTGTCAATTAATGTGTGTCTTATATATATGCATTTATATTTATATATTTCATGGTAATATTAATGCATGTCAATGTTTGATTTTATAGACACTTTTTGGTACTAGGTAGAGTTGAGAACCACTGGTGTGTTAACAAACCCACTGAAAGCTATAATGCTCCCACAACAGCTGATGTTTTCTGCAAAACTATTTATGAAAGACTGAATGTTCAGAAGTGAGTTCGATTATCTGAGCACCCACCCAGCAATGTAACTTCTTGTGTGATTCCGTAGATGTCTATGATGGCCCAGAGCGGGCATCCAACGCTTAGACCGCAGTGGAAGAGGATGGGCTCTCCATCATTGATGCTGTAGAAGACCCGGCCATGTCGGTCAGCCCAGAAGGCCAGAACACTGTCCCGCATGGCCAGCCTCTCTGGCAGGGCCTTGGCCCAGTATCCTGGCCGTGTCACCAGGTCGGGACAAGCATATTTGGGGATGTCAGCTAAGGAAAGATTGCTAGGGTCTAAGCTTGTGAAACCAAAGCGTAGAGCTCCACTCCAGCCTGAGTGGACACCTGAGAGGCGCAACCGCACCTTCTCATACAAACGCACAGGACGCTGGCTGAAGGTGATGCCATTGCAGAAACTGTTCTTCCGGGTGGCCCGGCGCAGTTGTGTGTCCAGTCTAATATTTTTGCCTTTGGCGTGGGGGTGAAAACAAGGAGACTCGATGCTGTTTGGAGGGGCAGAGGTGTGGCGCTCTACTCCACTTTTGGAAACAGTGCAGTACTGCCGACTGGCCACTGGGCGATGCTGTAGGCTGGAGTCTATTGGAATGAAAGCATTAAAGCACATTAGAAACATGTAAAAAGCCACAGAATACAAGTAATGTAAAACACACAAATATAATTTATGTATAAAGTTATTTCTTATTAAAGGCCTACAATGACATTAAAAAACTATTTCATCATTTTTTTTTAATACTTGCATTTTATACATCTACTAAATGCATACATCCCTAAATACACTGGGATTTTAAAATAAAAATGGGTTGGGTTCAGTTTAAACTGGGAATAAACAGTTGTAGGATTCTGAAAGTTCACTTTTCAGCTCCCCAATTCTAATTCATTTTTCAATTAAACTTTTACACTCAAATTACCGAAATAATAGTTTGAAAAGACAATGTAATAATAAATAAGACAATTTTTACTAGAGGAATAAAACTTTTGGATCCCATTGAATAGCCTTTATTCTATAGTTGTTTAGCCCATGTAGTGAACTGCATAAGAGCACTGGTTTTCACTATAGGCATCTCTCAAGAGCACTATTCCAGGAAACAATGGCATATAAACAGCAGCACTAAGGAGTATGATGATGACAGTGTTGACAGTACTGCCATAATTCATTGCACATACTGCTGAATCAAAGTAGAACAAAACAGGATGTGTCTTAAATAGCATTTTACAAGCGCAAACTCAAATACTTTATTTAAGCACCTATTAATGACATTTGGTGAATCTTTTGAAGATATGTCTGGGTTATATTTCACACTAAAATCAAAAGAATGTGAAGTTATTATCATTTTAGAACCATACAAATTTTTTTGCATGGTGAGCATGCATCACGCCACATTTAAAGGGGTCATATGATGCAATTTCAATTTTTCCTTTCTCTTTGGAATGTTACAAGCTCTTAGTGCATAAAAAAAGATCTGTAAAGTTGCAAAGACTAAAGTCTCAAATCCAAAGAGATATTCTTTATAAAAGGGTTAGGGTCAACCACGCCTACCTAAAACGCCTCGTTCTAACACGCCCCACATATCTACATCACTATGTGGGAAGATTTGCATAACGCCGCCCAAATGTTCACGCAAAGAAAGAAGGCGTATCTTTTATTCTCGCTGTAGTATTGTTTCCGCTGCCATGTCGTGAAGGCGCTGTGTGTTTCGTTGTGAAAGCGAAACTACTTTGTTTGGCCTTCCAAAAGAGGACGATATCTGCTTCGTCATGCCTAGAGCTGATCCGTGCTGGTCGCTGAGGAAATACTACAACTTTGCGCTGTGGATCACTGGATCGGCTTTCACCGTGGACGAAGCGGAGTCCAGCCCAGGGTCATCACATGTGGTTGATGCAAGCCCGTTGGACGCTCCTTCGTCGAATCCGCCGGCTGCGCCGTTCTCAAGCCCACCGGCCTCTGCTCATTCTAGCCCTCCGGCCGTTCCCCACTCTAGCCCCCGGCCTCTGCTCACTCTAGCCCTCCGGCCGTTCTTCACTCTAGCCCTCCGGCCTCTGCTCACTCTAGCCCTCCGGCCGTTCTTCACTCTAGCCCTCCGGCCTCTGCTCACTCTAGCCCTCCGGCCGTTCTTCACTCTAGCCCTCCGGCCTCTGCTCACTCTAGCCCTCCGGCCGTTCCTCACTCCAGCCCCCGGCCTCTGCTTACTCTAGCCCACCGCCTCTGCTCACTCTAGACCTCCGGCCTCTGCTCCCTCTAACCCTCCGGCCGTTCCTCACTCTAGCCCCCGGCCTCTGCTCACTCTAGCCCCCCGGCCTCTGCTCACTCTAGGCCGCCGTGTGTGACGCTGTGTTTCATTGTGAAAGTGAAACTACTTTGTTTGGCCTTCCAAAAATTGACACGACTAGAAATCAGTGGTTAAGTTGTATTTACAACACTGTTCCAGAACACTTCAACCCAAATATTCAGATGTGTGCAGCACATTTTATGGAGGACTGTTTCCTGATCCTGATAGAGTAGACTACAATGCCGGCTGTTCTGACTCACAGACTGTAAGTACGTTTTTTATATTTAAAGAGTTTTTATATTTTATATTTTTTTATATTTAAAGTGAGTTTTTTGGGCAGTGTAGAGTATTGGCTTGTTGTTTGTCATTTCAACGATTACAAATGCAGACATGGTTTTATGTTTACGTGGCGCAATGCAACGCAACAAGTAAAAAGACAGTATAAATCATTATAATCCATAATTATGTCCCCACTGGATGCAACAAATGCCTCGTTTATAATGGGTTTTCATGTTTTTGAATCTTCGCTCCGGCCGGGACACGGCATCATCACAGTATGGTAGGGGCGTAACATTTCCGTCACACGCTTGAGGTATTCAGCCAATCACAACGCACTGGATAGCTGGCCAATCAGAGCACACCTTGCTTTTCAGACTGATGAGCTTTGTAAAAATCAACGCATTTCAGAAAGGCGGGGCATAGAGGAGAAACAATAATGTACAGTATGTGGACAATAATGTGTTTTTTAACCTTAAACCGCATAAACACATTTCATTACACCAAATACACAAAATAATGTTCTTTTTAGCAATATCATATGACCCCTTTAAGCATTAGGCTATATCTAAATGCATTTAAGGCATAATACTGCCATGAAATAAACCAGTGAAACATTTGTAGCATCATCTGTTGTATTCTGTCAGGGTGTGTCAAAATTATTGGAGTTCTTCATGGGAATTATTGAGGATGTACGCAGCACATTATGATTATGAATTTCATTGTCTTTCAGTAAAATATAAGCACTGCATTTAAAAAAGATGTCGCAAAAAAAGACATTGCATGCTTCATGTTTCTTGACAGAAACGTCCCTCTGTGGGTGAGACGGAGACATAGAATTCACATAAAAATACATAAGTATATAACTACTTTCCATTCAGTCATACCTTCCACTTTACATTCCATCACGATAAACTGCATTAAACTGCAGTTTGTGGATGGGCTAGAATGGCAGGTTTGAAGTGTTTTTCATAAAGAGATCTAAGGCAGAAGTCATAAAATACAACAGTCACCTTCTCACAGGCTGTGATTAAAAAAGCTCTCCACTGATTTGTGTATAGGCTTAGGAGATATGAGAGCCATAAACGCCATTTGTGAAGCAGAGCATGGTTTTCGTGGCTTCCAAATATAGGTCTACACTATCCAATCAGGGCTGTGGCTAATGACAATGCCACTGTCCATTCCCTTTTGACTCCTATCTCCTAGAACACACACAAGTGTCTATAGTAGGGATGCACCGATACCGAGCTCCTGCACTCGTAAAAATGCCCCGATACCAAACGCCGATACCACACAGCATGTGATAAGTGCTATATTCAGACAAAGAAACACAGACAACAGAACAGACAGCAGAATGGAGTTATTAGGGATTAAAGATGTCTACGAAGTATATGTATGCAATGAATATAAAGCATTCAGTATTAATGCCTGTATAGCTGATTTGCGCCAGCTGGTAAGCAAATCACGATGAGTGGATTGAGCGCGCGGCGGCGCAGATACGCGAGCTTGTCGAGTGAATATGTCTTTCTCACAGACATCACTGGAAAGTTTGTAGTTCGGTCGGATATGTAAAAAAGAAGTAAGTAAAACAATGCACAAGTTACTTAATGGTAGGGAGGGAGGGAGAAAGAGAGTGCGCACTTCTGTTGTGTGATCTTTATTGATGTTCGCTCACTTAGCACGCACTTTTCAGATGAAAAAAACGCGACTTCTATTTCTGAAAATATCACAGTTAGGAGATTTATAACGAGTGGTTCCCTGCATTATTACAGCAAAGCGCATGATTACAGTACTGAGTCGCTGCAATGGAGCAGCTCTAATGCTATTAAATTAAAGATGATGTAATCTACCATAGAGAGAGAGAAAAATGAACAGTGAAAGTAACAAAAACTTGGGCATAATTAAGTGTGAAAATAACAGAAAAATATACAGTCAAACCAAAAATTATTCAGAGACCAGATATAATTTTTTATATTTTTTTACTAGTGGGTGCAGGACACTATAGTTCATTTATGTAAAGTGAGGATTGTCACGGAAACACCTGCCTCACCAGCCGAATTAGCCTCCTACACCCGCTCACAATCACCTGATTACTGATCACGGACACCTGCACCCACTTACCACACCACTCAAATACTCACTCACCTCATTCACTCATCGGCTGGTCTCAAGGTTGCAAGCTATTCTGTCCTGGTTCCTCGTCTTCCAGTCTGCCTGGTCCCCTCGGAATCCTCAGTTCTCGGCCGAAGGATCGGAGTGCCGACCCAGATAAGACTGTGTTTTGCTTCCCTTACTGCCTAAGTTGAACTCTTTTTGGTTGGAAGCCTCTCTTAAGTTCCTGTAATTAAACTCTCTGCTTAACGTTATCCTGCCTGTCTGCCTCTTTGTCCCGGTTGTGACAAGGATAGCAAAATAAAGTAAATATTGTGATCTATTATACCCAAAAATTATTCATAGAGTGGACTACCAATAAAATTGACTACAGGCTGTTATTAAGGCTAAGGGTCACACGACAAAGTATTGATAGTTGTGTAAATATTGACAACTGTATGAATAATGTTTGGTTGATTGTAATCTATTACATACCTTTCTATCAAAGTTATCTGACATTATAGGTCTACACTATCCAATCAGGGCTGTGGCTAATGACAATGCCACTGTCCATTCCCTTTTGACTCCTATCTCCTAGAACACACACAAGTGTCTATAGTAGGGATGCACCGATACCGAGCTCCTGCACTCGTAAAAATGCCCCGATACCAAACGCCGATACCACACAGCATGTGATAAGTGCTATATTCAGACAAAGAAACACAGACAACAGAACAGACAGCAGAATGGAGTTATTAGGGATTAAAGATGTCTACGAAGTATATGTATGCAATGAATATAAAGCATTCAGTATTAATGCCTGTATAGCTGATTTGCGCCAGCTGGTAAGCAAATCACGATGAGTGGATTGAGCGCGCGGCGGCGCAGATACGCGAGCTTGTCGAGTGAATATGTCTTTCTCACAGACATCACTGGAAAGTT